CGTGACTCTGCAAGCCCTAGTATAAACTGGGCCATGGGGGACACACACCTACACAAGGAACTATATTACAACAATTAGTCCAGAATGCAGTGGCATGGGTAATTAAGGAGAATTCAGTATGCCCATGTAGCATCACTACATGGTCAACATCACTAGAAGCCACATTGGCTTTTGATAGGCTTTCAGAGAAAATTCAAGATGCTGGTTTTATTTACAAATCCCTACATGACACGGGACTGGTTCTCCAGTAGTCCCTCTCACAGGCTCTGATAGGATAAGCGTGAATCTTTGAATCTCTTTCTTGAGATAATGCCATTTCACTGGACTCAAGAGGTGTGCCTCTTCTTTTGAGTTTCCATCTGGAAAAATTAATGAATGTCATCGATTACTGATTAATTACCTTTTGCTTTTAGTCTTTGCCTTTTGGCATTGTTTGGCATTTTGATTTTGTATTTTTGTTCCTGAAGGGCGGCCATATAAATCTTAAAACAAATAAACAGTGCTATCAAAATGTTCAGGTAGATCCATTTCATTGGGAAACAGGACACAATGCAAACGAAATTATGGGACCAACCAATCCAATTGATCAGCAGAGAGCAACATGATCCTCCAACCTAATTTTGTGGTTTTCCCAACCCCACCCACCCCACCCCCCTGTTTTATAATGAAAAGAAGTAATGTTGAGATCATCACAAGGCAGAAGAGCAGATGCTTCCACCTTCCGGCCTGGTCTATTTCCCATCTTGGTCTCTTGAAAGCTTGCAGCAGATCAGAAGATGGGAGCGGAAACATCCGCTGGGAGGTGGAAATCATCTCCCATTTTCTCATTCTCTGATCCAATTTCCTCCCAGAAGAGGCAGCGTCTGGTATTCACTAATGGCCCAATCTGTCTTAATTAGCTGAAGAGAGAGAGAGAAACCAGCAGAGGAAGGGGAGGCTGCAAATCTCCAGCCTTCACAGAGGAAACAAAGGAGGTGATCCTCACCCAGGCTGGTTGGAATGTATTCCCCATCTATGAATGGACAGACAAGGCACAACAGCCAGCTCCTTGTTCCCCCAACATTTATTTCTTCCTTAACACACACACACACATACACACACACATGGGGGGGAGAGGGAGAGTGGAGGGAGAGGGAGAGAAAGATTTAATTTATATCATAATCTGGATAGAAGACAGTGGAGAAAGAGAATGATAGGTAATCTGGGGAATGGTTTTTCGCACCCACAACCTAAATCCCACGTATGCACAAATGAAGCCCCACATACTCACAACCTCCTTTGGAGGCCCAGTTCCCAACAGGCCATGGGCCAGGGGTTGGGGACCCCCTGCTCTAATGTATTCCCTCTCCTATAAGTAGGAATTTCTGAATTTGCTCGTGGTCTCCTAACACGTCTCATAGGAAGACCTACAATAGATGTAAGGAATCACTAAAACAAAAACTTTCCAAGGGACTCTGCTACAGAGGGTCCTTGACTTACAACTACTCGCTTAGTGACCAAGGCACTAAGTGACCAAGGCACTTATGACTGTCCCAGCATCCTCATGGTGACATGATCAACATTCAGGCACGTGGCAACTGGCATGTGTTTATGCCACTTGCAATGTCCCAGGCTCATACGTTCACTTTTTGCCATCTTCCCAGATGGTTTCCAACAAGCCGGAGGGATGCCAGATTCACTTAATGACCATGTGATCCACATAACAAATGCAGAGATTCAGTTAATAACTGGCAAAAATGGTCATAAAACTGGGCATGACTCATTTAATAAGTACCTTGTTTAGCAATGGAAATTCTGGTCCCAATGTGGTTGAAATNAGCCTCTTCAAAACGTTGGTGCGTCTTATACTGTGGTGTGTCTTATACTCCAAAAAATATGGTAATCCAAATGTCTGCATCATCCCAGATCTGCAGTGTAAGATGTTGCTGCAACATTCATATAGATCAGGGGTCCCCAAACTTGGCAACTTTAAGACTTGTGGACTTCAACTCCCAGAATTCTACAGCCAGCTGGAGAATTCTGGGAGTTGAAGTCCACAAGTCTTAAAGTTGCCAAGTTTGAAGACCTCTGATATAGACAAATGTCTAGGGCGGTGTTTCTCAACCTTGGCAACATTATGCATGACTGCCTGGGGAATTCTGGGAGTTGAATTCAATATATTTAAAGTTGCCAAGGTTGAGAAACACTGATATGGAGAAATTAAATACTTAGAACAAAGAACATCATCAGAGTTGGAGGTCTTCCTCCAACCCCATACTCAGGCAGGAAACCTTATACCCATTTCAGACAAATGGTTGTCCAACCTCTTCTTAAAACCCTGCAGTGACAAAGCTTTGAACAAAAGAGAGGGTCCCACTCCCCGTCTTTTCAGAACTCTATTCCACTGTCTCCATTTTTTTTACAAAAAAAAGGAACTTTCTTCTAATCCTTGATCAAAATATGCTGCCATTGTCACACATTGGTTCTGGCCTTTCCCAACCAAATTAACAAAAATTAATTCTGCTCCATCTTTTTCACTCCTTGCAAATTTCTGAGAATTCTTATTACGTTCTCTTTCAGCCTTCTTTCCTAAACCGGGTGGGGGCCGAGCCAGCACATGATGCACCCAGCCCCTGGGCCGCAGGTTTGACATCCTTGACCTAGATGATATTAATACGATCTAGTGTGTTGATTTTAAAAGCAAAGTGTTCTTAAAAAGAAAAATGAAGGAGATTTTAGCTGTTTCATTTAAATATAGAGCCGAGGTGGCGCAGTGGTTAAATGCAGTTCGGCTGTTCAAATCTCACCGGCTCAAGGTTGACTCAGCCTTCCATCCTCCCGGATTGTTGTTGGGGGCAATATGCTGACTCTGTAAACTGCTTAGAGAGGGCTGAAAGCCCTATGAAGCGGTATATAAGTCTAACTGCTATTGCTATTGCTAGCTTACTTGGAGAGATACAGTCTTCCAGCCAAATACGTGTGGATACGTGTATTGAAATGGTTCCATTATGCTGTGAAATAATCTAACAATGATACAATGAAGAATTAATATAAGGTCTGGTGACATAATGTATAATGTTAAGAACTTATTATAATGATATTTCGCTGCGGATAAGCAATTTTAATACGGGAACAAATGAAAACTGGTATATATAGGCAGTGATGCTTTGTTGAAAAATGAAGGAATTAAGATCTCTGTTTGAAGGTATGAAATGCAAGGACAATAATGAATATAAGTATACTTTCTGGGGAAAA